CAGCAGCAGCAGCAGCAGCAGCAGCAGCAGCAGCAGCAGCAGCAGCAGTGGCGACCTCGCTTGGGGGCAGAGAGTAACGTTCCTTTCCGTGAAAACTCTCTAATCAAGAAGGTGACAGCAAAACGCAGCCGAGTTGATCACAGCCGCGCTTTATTAAATCATTAGTTTGTCGTCGTCGTCGTCGTTACGTTGGCGCGGCTGCTTGGAGTCTCGGCAACACAGCTGACGCGATCTCGCGACGCGTGATGCTGACGTCGTTACGGCAACGTAGCAGACGCGATATCGCGACGCGTGATGCTGACGTCGTCACGGCAGAATCGCCGTCGTTTAGAATCGTCGGTTACTCTTGCCGTCATTAGACCTATATGATGTTATTACTATGAGGCAGGAGTTACCCTGTCTGTGATATGATCAAAGTTTATGTTAGAATTGCTGGGGTTTCGAATCATTTGCGACCTCTCTTGGGCAAGAGCGTTAGTGCGTCGTTTTGGCGCGCCATGACAACGCTGTAATCAAGGAGGTGACAGAAACGCTGCCGAGTTAATCACAGCCGTGAGCGCCACCTGGTTGGCCCGGCTGCTTCATGCCTCGGCTACAGACTCAGACAAAATTTCGCTTCAATTTTAATTAATTTTGCATTTTAATTTTAAACCTTTTACTTAACGTAGCTGGCAGAACGCGTTCTAGACTATTCGAATCCTTGTTGTCGTTCACTTATCACTTTCTCACTATCTACGTTTTTAATGTTGGTGCTCGCGTCTCGTTTTCCAAGATGGCCGAGAAATTTTGTTTCCATGGATACGGAAAGTGAGTGTGACGATGATCGTCTGCGTTTCACAGCTTGCGATGGTGACCACCAGGGGCGTGCAGCTGGCGATGTTGTTCATGGCGGGAGTCGAGAACGCTATGTTCGCAAACGACGCGTGTGGCGCCCCCGTCCCGGCTCCACACTGTTTCCCCTGGCTGTTCTTCGACGGGAAACTGTTCCACAGCAAGCTGCTGAAAGCCAGCAACGATAGCAAGACGCTGCTAGAACTTTGTGACGGTCAGGTGAGTGAGTCCTGCGCGCCGGCTGTAGTAGACAGGTGGGTGGTGGCACGCTGGCTGTAATAGACAGATGGGTGTGTCGAATCAGTGTTGCAGTCTAAAATAATAAAAAAAGGTGTAATAAAGTCTAATAAATTTCACTTTTTAAGGGTAATTTTTGCGCATTCGGTTCCCTTCAAAAGTACGACGTTTCCGTAGCTTTCGCCGGAGACTAACTTTGCGAGCTTTTCACCGCTTCTCACCGTCGTCGTGTCTTCTCACCAGGTGGAGCAGGTCGCGACGGTTGAGCGCATGCGGCAGGCCGTCCTGCAGGGCTTGAAGTTTGACGATGTGTTCGCGAGACCGCAGCTTCCGTGCGCGTTCGAGCAGCCGGCCGGAATCTACCCGAACCCGCCTCCCTTCCCGCTTCACTTCCTCGTTGGCGAGCCGATCGGACCGATCCCGCCACCGGGACACCCCGGCGTCGGACGCGGCATGCCCCCGCCGCCGGTGGCGTCACCTAGGAACGGAGGCATCGCGGGGAGGGCGCCGCCGGGATACGGACAGTACAACAGTACGTGCGAGGGAGGGGTAGGGGGCGCCACTAGCGTCCGGGTACGGGCACTAGTACAAAATACGTAAGGGAGGGAAGAGGGGGCGCCACCAACAATACGTGCGCGGGGGAGGGGGCGCCACCAACAATACGTGCGCGGGGGGAGGGGGCGCTGCCGTCGCCGGGTCGCTTTCCATCCTGAGATGATGCTTTATATCAAAAGTAAACGTTCTCTGAATTACGTTGAGGATGAACATTAACTGATCGGTGAGAAAGCCGGCGATGGCGACGGCGGCAGCACACATATCAGACGATAGTACACGAATCAGACCAAGTTACGCGACGGGCAAATTTGACCGAACTGATGACGAATATATCAAAATCGCGCGCGCACAAATTCCTACGAAATCAAAAGACGAATTAATTTTACGAGATGGAAACGACGAATGAATCGGACGAACGGAAACGATGAACGAACAAATTTGAGAAGACGGGGAATTTAGGCTAAATCGTTCGCCGGCCCACCGCCGCTGCAGTTCTAGCTCTCGTCACAGATCGACTGCGAATTGACGCTCTTTTGTTTGTTTTCTCTCGTCGTTGCGCAGGTAAGCGAGGGCTGCTGACGCGGGGAGGCAAGCTGGAGATTGCGGGGATGACGGTGGCGCACTGGGGAGCGAACATGGGCGGAGGAGGAGGAGGAGGCGGAGGAGGAGGAGGTCTGGGTCGCGGCCTTCACCACGCGCCGCTCCACGACATGCAGGTCACCTCCGTCGGTGGAGGGTTCCGCGGATCGTAAGTGTCACTCGTCCGCCGTGTCTGTCTCGCGCAGGCGCATGGGATCATTCCAACCGGTCCACTAACGTGGGTTTGGATCGGGATTTCCGGGGTCCTTATTGTCAGACACAGAATTAGTGTTAAGATTTGTCTTAACATTTAAGTTTTTCTCGTCGACCGGCCCTCTATATAGGCTGCACACGAGAACTCATATCTTTACTGTGTTTCTGTCGATGGTCTACGAGAGAGATTTGAGGCCAAAACAAAATATAGGTGTGGTGACCGTTTCCCGACCGACCCTATTTATTCCCAGCGACCCTAAACATTTTGTCAATTTTCTTAAAAAAAAAAAAAATATGAATTGGACAGTTCCTGCTTCAAAAGGCACAACGCACATCCTTCGGACATGGTTCGTAAATAAAATGTTTCAATAAAATAAAATGGTTTCCCTACCTGCCTACCCTAATTTTTTTTCCCGCATGAAACGGTAACCACACCTATATTTTGTTTTGGCCTGAATGGCACGTTAGCATCCTCCTGCTCGTTGGCTGCTGCAGTGCTGCCAAGGTTTCATATGGGTGCGAGAGCAAACGAGAGTTGTCAGTGGGAGGGCCCTGCATTCGTCGGCCGCTTCTCGCTTACATCTCTCGATCAGTCGCTAAATGTTCGCAGTTCATTGTGCAAGATGTGTTGTAGAATATACATGTTAGTTCCTTTTAGCTCAGCTTAGATGAGTTTCCTCCTATGTAATTTGTATGATACGATTAATTATCCTATTAATAATCATGTCGTTAACTTTGGTAATGCTAGAGTAATTATTATTCATTGTTTTTCGTTAACTTTGGAAACATTGTCACAAGTCGGTTTTCTTTCTGTCACAGGTTTGGTGCTGCCATGCCGGCCATTTTTTGGCCATTCTTAACGTTATTTTGAACTTCTTGATTTTGGTTATCTGTTGGCGTATTAACGTCGGGAACTCTCGGCGTGACGTTGAGGTAGTGACGTCTCGTGTCGTTACAGGTACCGGGGTGTCGTGTCGACGCGGGCGAGGGGAGGACGCGCTGCAGCCACCGGCAGGGGAGGAATGCAGGTAACTATCTCCCCGCATGCACACGCACGGTCGCGCTCGTGGTGCCGGCTAACTAAGCTAAGCTGCTGTCAAGGCAGTAACAACAGAAGCAGTAACAGCTGCAGCAGAAACAGTAATAGCAGCTGCAGTAGTAGCAGCTGAAGTAGTAGCAGTAGCAGCAGCAGCAGCAGTAACAACAGCAGCAGAAACAGCAGCAGCAGTTGCAGTAGTAGCAGCTGCAGTAGTAGCAGCTGCAGTAGTAGCAGCTGCAGTAGTAGCAGCAGTAGTAGTAGTAGCAGTAGCAGCAGCAGCAGTAGTAGCAGTAGCAGCAGCAGCGGGATAAAGTTGATTGGCCATTGACACTCTGCATTTAGAATCGTTAGTTACACTTGCCATCAGGTGAGATCAATCGATTGATGTTAGAATTGCCGGGTTTTCGAATCATTTGCGACCTCTCTTGGGAAAGAGCGTTAGCGCGTCGTTTTGGCGCGCCATGACAACGCTGTAATCAAGGAGGTGACAGAAACGCTGCCGAGTTAATCACAGCCGTGAGCGCCACCTGGTTGGCCCGGCTGCTTCATGCCTCGGCTACAGACTCAGACAAAATTTCTTATTATTCTTATTTCTTATTCCATTATATATGACATAGCTATATTGATCAGCTTGGGTTCTTTTTCACTTCTGTTTTGCGTTGCTATGGCGACGAACCCTCGTCGTACTCGTCTTGACTACGTCCTCTGGACGTTGACGCGTTTCATTCGCTCTATGTTTTACTTGTGCAGGTCAATGTGACTAATAGCTTTATTGATCAGCAATATTGAGTATATACCGTACTCAAACTCTAGTCGTTTCGACGCTGACGCGTTTCATTCGTTGCCGTGTTTTCCTCGCGCAGGTCAAGGGAGGCAAGGCCACGAGAGGAGGAGGCGCGGCGGGGAAGAAGGTCGTCAAGGTCGTCGCGGTGAAGGACGCTGCCAAGGGCAAAGGTCGCGGTGCCACGATAGACACCAGTGACGCGTGAGTAGCGATCACTTATTAAGTTAATGGCGATTAGCGCGGAAATTTGCTAGGATATTTTTCGATTCTCGTAACTTTAGTGTGTTTCTGTCGGCGGTCTGAGAGAACGAGTAAATGTTAAATCTAATTTTTTTCCCCGAAAACGCCGCCCTTGCGCGCCCGTGAGCTCTGAATTAAATCGTCAAAAAACCAAGACTTATTATTTTATTTTTTTGTTTCATATATAAAAGAATTCGTTTCTACATAAGTGTAGTGGCGTATTTGAATTGGAATTAAATTGGTTTAGGTCTGCGCATCTCCCCCCCCGCGCTCCTCGTGCGCGTTCATTACAGGATTGCTACAGGATCGATGCTGACACTTAAGGTGCTAGTATCGACGTCCTGGCAGCGTTTGAAGTGTAGCGGGGCGTGATTGGATTGGTTTAGGTCCGCGTAATCTCCCGCGCTCCGCGCTTAGAAGCTCGATAGAGCTCTAAGTGGGGGGCGTGTCTGTGGCCGAGAAGGCAGAAGCACTCGAGAGATGAATCCTCTCTCTCTCTCGAGAAAGCGGGAGTGCGCGGGTCAAAGTAATTGAGTTGTCATAGAGCCGAAATTGAGTTGGCTAATCCGCGACGCCCTAACGAGGGTTGTGTCTATGTGATCAAAGGAGCTGTGAAGGCTGCGCTTCTCGCGCGGCACTTCACAGCTCGATCGATTATCACTTCTCGCGCGGCACTTCAAAGGGGCCCTCCCTTTGATGTGATATTGCGGGATTATAGGATTATAGATGACGCACGCGTGACGCACGCGCGACTCATGTAGGTTACGCGGTCGTGGCTGGCGTATATAAGCCGAGAGCCGGGGAGAATCGGGGTAGTTGGCTTCACCCAGGAACTCAACCAGGCACGACCGCGACAACCGCTGTAATTGTATCAAAACCGTCAGTAAACTGCGAATCATGGTAACAACTGGCTTTCTCTTGTCTATGCATCAGTTATCTATGTCTTTTGGCGAAACATAACGTAGTAAACAACACTATAATCCTCTAACGTAGAAACTTCCTGCGTTACATAAGAAGTAACATACTGGGAATTAACGGCAATTAAATAATGAGTCCAAATAATATTAAGAGAATTAAATTTTTTTAATTATTTTTTCTTGAGCAGCGGCACGGTGGAGGTGAGCGATCTGCTGAGCGGAGAGAACGGAGTCAAGGAGGAGCCGACGACGGAGAAGGAAGCCCTGCCGGAGGAGGGGAAGGAGGCGGCAGTGGAGGAGGAGGA